GGGGAGGAGCCTGGGGGGGGTGGTGCCTCCCAGGAGGTGGCTTTTCCTACCTCCTGGCGTGGGGGGGCTGGGCTCTTCCACTGCTCTCCCTCCGGGGCTGCCGCCTCGACCCGGCCCCCGAGAGCCACCTTCCACTCACTCACCAGCAGGTGAAGGGGTGCTGTGGGCTCCAGCTCTTCCCTTTTGACTGGGAAAGGCTTCCTCTTGGAGTTGGGCAAGGGGTTTCAGTTCCCTTGACCATGCCTTTTCCAAGCAGAGGGGCTTTTTGCAAGCCGTTTATAGCTTGGGTTTCCCTTTGCCTTTTAGAGTGAAGCTTACTTGATTTAAGGTAGACTCGGAAGGAGCCAGGAGGCCCAGAAGGGACCGCCCTTGGGTCAGACAGGTGGAGAATGAACGGAGAAGCGGAGTGCCCTACGGACTTGGAAATGACAGCTCCCAAAAATCAAGGTGAGAGTAGCCCCGCTGCCCAAGGATGCCTGGCTCTCCCCCAGCTATGCGAGGGACCCGGCTGCCGAGATCCCTTTACACCTCCCTTCCAGCTGTCTCTGGAAGACTTGCCCTGTTTTGTGCCCGTGAGCAGTTCCAGTTGGATGCTCCTGTGTGTGAAATCAAGCACTTGCATAACCGCCTGGGGGAAGGGGCTGCGAGAGCAGCGTCACCCATTCCTAGCATGCTTAGAAATTAGCAGGACACCTTCGTTTGGGTTTAAGAGCCTGCCCAGTAGGTTGACCAGATCCTGTTACGGATTTGGTCTTTACACCATTCTTTCTCCTAGCCCTTTCACGGGAATGCTGGAAAACATTGTTTCATGCTTCATATTGGCCCCTGAAAGCGAGAGTGATAAAGCTAATAATATGCCACCCCACACTCGTTTGGTCGAGCTGCAGACATGGCAACAGGCCTGGCTGAATCAAACGGCCAGTGAGATGCTTTTAAAAAAAAAGGACCAACTTTTATTGGCCTGTTTAATTTGTACATTGATGCCAATCTGGAACAGGGGGGACCCGGGTGCGGTTCCCTTTATTTTCGCTGGAATTGGAGCCATTTGCATTCGTGTGCCTGGATGAAAGGCAGAGGGACCTACAGCTTGGGACCTCGACATCCACATCTTCTGGTGACATCAGAATTGCAGTTTGCATTTACAAAAAGCAGCCATAATCCCCTTGCATGAGGAATTGACTTGAAAAGGGAATTTCTGAAGTTAGTTTGCTGAAACACTACCTCGCGCCTGGGTTAACACCACTACAGTCCTCCTGGTCTGTCTTGTGGCCGGGAATTTTTAAGGCTTTAACTGTACCCTGCACAAAATGCTAAATGGTGTTTTGACCCATCTTTGCTAATTTAATTTAAAAAATCACCCTTTATCCTAAGGATTTTTCTTTTTTTTCCCCCTTGATGTTCTTGTTTAAACTGGTGCTAGTGCACGTGCACTAAGAGTTTGCACTGGTTTAACAAGATTGTGTTTAAATTGATTTAATTACACCAGTGCAACTTTCCTAATATAGACCAGGCCTGAGGCTCCAGATTGCCTGAAGTAATAGCTCCACACGGCCTCATTCATCTTACTCTGTTAACTTTGAAAGCATTGCCAGCATAGGTAGATGGGGTGGGTGGATGGCCACTTGCTGCTGTCAGAGCTCTGAAGGGCAGACCGCAGCATAGGTTCCTTCCCCCCCAACCCAGTGCTACATAGCTGAGATCCTTCCTCCTTTGGGGCATACCTCAGAATTGTCTGTAGAGGGTGTCAGGCCCTGCTTGCCCAAAGTGTGGTGTAAGACTCCCTTGTGCAGACATTTTTTATGTGGCAGGATCTTACTGTTGCCATTCCAAAGAGACAGCAAAAGACAGAATTCCCTTAATTTAGCTCTGGCTCTGATCTTGTGTTTAATCCACTAACACAGTTTCCATTTCCCCCATGCATGGCACTGGTTATGGAGGTGGTGGCTGGGCACAGATTTGTACCAGTGGCTCTGATTGCAAGTCAGGTCTGAATCTGGCCTGGTCTTTTGCTATAATTCTCCTTTACATATTTTCTTGTCTCCTTCTATCATCATTGAATACCTAGGGCTGTTGACTTGGATCCAGCAGGAGCTCCGATCATTTTGAATAGCCTCTCAGTACTTACTCTTATCTTCTATGAGCTTTTTTTAATGCCTCACAGATTAAATGACATGAAATATGATCTTCCTGCTGTATTTCCATCAACTAGGAACTGTATTGCGGTAGATCATTTATATCAGCACCTCATCCAAAGGCCTTAAACTATATCCATTTTACAGATGGGGAAACTGAGGCATGGCGCTGCAAAGTGACTTGACCAGGGTCACACAGGGGAGGAACCGGGGACAGAATGCAGGGTTTCCTGGTGTCCCATCTTCTGACTCACTCCTGAAATAATTCAGCCTTGGTCTTGGTTTCAACCTTGTACCATTATTTTCCAGCAGTGTAACCCCACTAATTTCAGTGGCTTCTCCTGATCCTTGCTGATAAGGTCAGAATCTGGCTTCCTGTGCTAATTATACCCCACAGAGGATGCCTAAAGCATTTTAAAAATCTTTTGGATGAAGATTAAAGAGAAATACTGGCCCCTACAACTTGCCACAACTGGTCAAAATGACTGAATCCCTCTTCCTTGTGCTTCACATACCTGACACTCCCAGGTACTTCTCCTGTTCAGTTTTGTATGCTTAACAATTGCGAGTTCAGAACATAAAGTCTGTAGTCGTACAAACCAAGGTGACGACAAAGATGATCAGGGCTAGACTTCAGGCATGTAAGGAGATCTTTTATAGTAAGGCACAGGAAAGAAATTCTACCTCCCTCCTTCATCAACCTCATCAAGCACTGCTCAGTTGGCTCCTGGGTTTGCCTTTCTTTTGAAGCCTCTTGTATGGAGCACAGCCCTGGGCAGGAGATCTTATGAGATGACTGCACAGTTTGATTTGGGATGGCAGATCTGATAACCTGCTAACACAAAATACATGTGAATGAGCCACATCAGTTTATCAGGTAGCTATGAAAAGGTGTTTTGTTTTGGTTGGGGTTTTTTTTTTTTGGTGATTTTAATGGACCATAAAAGTGTTCAGTGAAGCTGTTAAAGGGAAACTAACAATTGGACAGCTCTACAATTTAGTCTACCTTAAAACTACTTCAGTAGTCAGACTGCCACATGAACCCAGCTAGTTCACGTGCACCAAAATGGAGGACGTCAGTAAATGGAATGTAAGTGGGAAGCCCTTTTGAGGGATGGTTCTGCAACAGCAAAGCCAGATGATGCTGGGTTTCTTGCTGTGGGGCACACTTGTGATTGGGCAGGGATTTAGGGACCCGGAGCAAAGGCACAATTTCAGTAGCACTGCACCTCTACCAGGGTGAATTCAGATCTCCGGATGCAGAGTTTGTTGGTTTTCAAGTACAGACTGCTTCCCAAGCCAGCAGGAAAATGGGTTGCTGGCTGTCCTCGGACCTAGAGGTAAGCAGTGTATCTGGGCCATGTTTTAAGCTGCACTGGCATCCTTTTCATATGTATGGTGTGGTGCTGAGGACTACGTCTGGCTCTGTGTGGAACTGTCTTGACACTGCTGGAGATTGGACATGTGAACTGAACGCCCCATGTGACCCATAATTTTACTGGAGCCTATAATTTGGAATCTAATGAATATATTTAACATTAATTATTTCAAATGTCAGTTGACATTCACTCCTGTTTAATTTTTTTGAACAAATATGTGGAGGGGGGATTCTTAACACACCACAATTTAGCCTGAGATTCTCAAAACTGCCTAGGAGAATTGTATTCTCACTCCCTTTAAATTTTAGTGGGAATTGGGTGCCCAAGCCCTGTGTGTGGATTTGAAAAACCTCAGACTTCCTTCAGATCATGGGCTAAGAGTTGGCAATACTTTGCTTAAAATCAAAAGCCTTCAGAAGCTGAACTGCCCGGCTGCCAGTAGTCCTGAACTAATCCTGATCCAGCCCTTGCTGCTGAAGTCTGTAGGTCCCTGCCTTATGACTTCAGTAGGTTTCAGCTCAGAGCTTGAGTGCAAACCTGTATTAGCTCCAGCTAGCTGTGGGGAAGACTTGGCAGACAGATAGCTTGTTAATTAGCAGGGTTATCTTGTTCACTTGTGCATTATATATTTATCTCCCTTTGCAAATGCACAGACTCCTCCCAAATTTTTTTTAAAGGCCCATTGTAGACAAGGTGAGAGTTTGGGGAGTTTGGGGGAGTTGTGATGTCCTGAAATTAAACCATCGTGGGTTTCCTTGGTGACCAAGGGCTTTCCCAGAGAGGAAGAAGAACTTAAGACAGAAAAGCACTGAAAGAGTGGCACAGATTGGTGGTCTCAGCCTTGTGCCAATGGAACCCAGCACCTGTGTGGGGAGTGCCTTTGGCTCTGCACTAATGCAAAGCTCTAGCCAGCAAGGTGGACTGCAGGGTTATTTCCAGGCTTTCTGAAGAGGACTGCAATGAGCTCCCTGAAGTCCTCATGGCTTGTTGCAGGATCAGGTCCCCTGGTACTGTGAAGGTTAAGTGTTGCAAGGTGGGGAGGGCTCTGTTTAACTGCCTTGTAGACATTTCTAAAATTTGTGTCTTGCTTGAGCACAGAGTTTCTTTGCACCCAGACCCAATTTACATCCTCTAGTCTGACCTCCTGGACATCAGGCATGATGGCTTGTTCATGTGAGGACTGTTCAAGTGGAAATGGTGGTATGGCCCTTCTCACTGCAATGGTCATTAAAAAGGGGGTGGTTGTAAGTCCAATGCATTTTGGTAGTTGGGGATAAGCAAGGCCTCTGCAGGGAGGGTTTTTGTAGCCATGCATGCATGTGGGAGGTCAAATCCCTCCAGCAGGCAGGGACAGCTCTGTTAGATGCTCCGTGTTCCAGCTGTGTACTTTTGATCCTCCCTGACCCATTGTTCCTTGTGGGGCTCTGCCTGGGACATGCATAGATTGTTGTAAGCAGATGTTTATAGGCCCCGCAGTGTTTGCAGGACATGTATGAAGGGCTGTAGGGGGAGAGTTATGGTCAGGGCCATGTGATCATTAGGAACAGTGGGGTGGAAAACTGAATATCAAGAAGGGATGCCCTCCTGGTAAGATCTCCCTGACCTGGACCTGTTCCACAGGGGGAGGGCAAGAGCCAGGTTGCTTGAGCCTTTTCACCTTTCAGCTCTGGTTTCTGAAGCCCGAGATAGTGGAGACATGTTGCAAGCTAGTTTGAGGTTAGAAATAAACCTCCCCAAGCACCAGGCTCAACTTGCTGCACCCTTCTTTATCACCCCCATACCTCAGGGCCTCTTTTCCCTACCCTCTCTCTGGCCAGTTTACCACTTCCTGCTGGGGGCACCATCCAGGTTTGTCTTCTGCTCCCCTGATACTGGCCAGCAGCTTCTGCTGCTGCTGCCTTGAGTATTGCAGTAACCACAGAACAAAGAGGTTGGCTGTCACATGGTCTTGGGTGGGGGATGTTTCCTTACTGAGAGGCAATTTGTGCCTCTGTTCAGAGGCTGCAGGGAGTGAACCATGATGCCTCATGAGCGCCCCCTCCCTATTCCCCCCAGAGCTCTGCAAGGGTGCACAGCAGAAGATTACCTTGGCTGTTCTTTCTCTGCACCACCCACTCCAGACATCTCCTGGCAGCCAGGCCTCTAATAGAGGTGGCATAGAACTGGCAGCACTGGCTTGGCTCTGCTCAGACTAGCTCTCTGGTCTGGAATTTGCCAGGGTGCCAGATAGCTGCTCTATGGCCAGCCTAGCAGGTATAGAAGAGCTCACATGCACCAATGAATAAAGCTTGCTGTGTCAGCTATCACAATGACAGTAGGGCTCCAAAGGAGCATGACCTGCCTCTCTTACCTCCTGGAAGGGAGCCCCATTAATATCTCGGGGATCCTGGGCTGTATGTCTTCTCCCTCCTCCAAACATGCTGCTGTGAGGTATAGCCTGCACTGTGCCAAGGTGCCATGCCGTAGCTGCCCAGTCCATGGTAGCCCAGTGCTACATGTTCTTTTAGTGCCGTGCCTCATTCTATGCCCATTTCTACCTCTGGTGTAACTCGGGTTGCATCCACTTTGTGCCCTCAGGCTTTATCCATTAACCCCTAGCATGGATCTTTTTCTGGAATCTACTTTGCACTATAACCATGAATGGGTCTGAGTTCTCTCAAGCTTCTGGAAGCTCCATGCCCATGATTTACTCATACCTGGGGCATCTCTTTTTAATTAGGGTGTAGATTGCCATATATGCCAAGGTGAGAGAGAGAGAGAGTACAAGCAAGAGCAAATGAGTACTTACAGAACTCACTGTGTAAACTCAGTAACTCTTGCCTTGTTGCTGCAAAGCAACCCCCCCAGTACTTGCACAGTAATAGACATCATTTTATATGCTGCTGTATCTTTACAAACCAGAGGGTTGGGTTTTTTTTAATAGAGGGAAATTTCTTAGCCCCAGCTGGAATGTTTGGAGAAAATGTTACAAGGTGATGGAAATAGTGGGTGATCCTGCTAACCCTTTATTTGAAGACAGCCCCTGGGGACTTCAGGTTCCAGCAGGCATTTGGCCAGTCTCCATCAAAATTCAAGTTGCCTGCTGTGGTCTGTCATCTAGTTGTGCTGCACCTCTGGGATAAAGGTGCCGTGCCACCAGTGCAAATTGTGCCTGGCAACATTTAGGTGCTGCAGCGCTATCCTGCTTGTGTCTGCTTGCAGTCACGTTGAGTGAAAAGGCTGTTGCACTGTTGAGGATCAGAAAGTGTTTGTATACCAACCCGTATCCCCTCCAGCTTGTGGGGAAGGGCTGTCTGCCCATGACTCAGAGCTGATCCTTTTCCTCTCTTGCTTAGACCGTTGGTCCCAGGAGGACATGCTGACTCTGCTAGAGTGCATGAAAAACAACCTGCCCTCCAACGATGGCAGCAAATTCAAAACCACTGAGTCCCATCTGGACTGGGACAAAGTGGCCTTCAAGGATTTCTCTGGCGACATGTGCAAGATGAAATGGATGGAGATCTCCAATGAGGTACTGCCCTAGTGCTCACTGTCATAGCTTCTGTGCCTGGGTCCCTGTGCCATGGAGCCATTTCTGTATGTGGATTTGGGGAGGGCTGACCTCATGGTCTGAGCAGGGGTCTGGGAGCCAAATCTCGCCCACTTAAACCAAAGCCTGATTTGTTGGCCACAGGATTTGATATTTTTCCTATTATTTTATTTTAATTCCTGCTGTCCCACTCTTTGCTCTCTTCCCAGCTTTGTCATAAAATAATTATGGGCACTTCATCTCCTCCCCCTTGTTGTATAAGGGGGGCAGGAATAATACTGACCCATCTCCCAGGCTAGAGTGTGTATGGTGGGAGGGGGAAATTGATTAGGGGTTGCAAAATGCTGTAGTACTAGTGGTGAATTGCTTAGTGTCAATCATGCTTTAGCAGTAAGGTACTTGGTGCTGAACAAAACGTAAGTGCAACCCCCGCTGGCTTTCTGACCCTGAGCTTGCAGCCTGTTGCATTCTCTCCAGTGTGGCAATATTGGGTAGATATCACATATCGATTTACAGAAGTTTAGGGCTGGAAGGGACCTCGTGAGATCATTGGGTCCAGCCCCCTGATCGATATGCTATGAATGCTCTTTATCCCTCTAGGTGAGAAAATTCCGAACCCTGACAGAGCTGATCTTGGATGCTGAAGAACACGTAAAGAATCCCTACAAGGGCAAAAAGCTCAAGGTAGGGCTGTCTTGGGGAGGAGTCCAGTAGCATCAAACAGGGACTTGGGTTTCCTAGAATCACAGAAAAGTAGGGCTGGAAGGGACCTCAGGAGGTCCTCCTGTCCAACCCCCTGCTCAAAGCAAAAGTGTCCCTATCCAAACCAACCCAACCCATACCGACGTTTGTCTAACCTGTTCCTAAAACTGCAAAACAAGGTATGTTGTCCTTAACCTGCCACAAGTAAAGTAGGGGGACAAGGGCATTGCCAATGTCCTGTTGCTGCCGAGGGGCTCTGCAAGGGGCTGCCGAAGTATCTTAGCCACTATTTGGGGTGGGATATGGACAGGGAAAGGTGGTCTTTTGCTCAGAACCCAGGAAGCTGCATCGTAAGGCAAGTCTTATATGTGAGATTTGCTGGGAATGATTTTGCTGGTCAGCAGGGCCATTCTTAGGCAAACTCCTTGGGAAATAGGCTTTGTTATGAGGGATGTGGGGACCCTGAGCTGCTCCCTGAGGCTGGGGGATTAGTTCAAGTTTGTCAGGCGCTTTGGAGGTGGCAAGGCCTGCACCAAGGCAAAGTTGTGATGCCTGCCCAAAGTACATTTAATACTTCTGGGCGTATTGCTGATAGCCTGTGTCTAAGTTTAGAGCAGGATACTGTGAATTGGGAGACTTCTGTTCTATTCTTGGCACCAAGAGGCAATGTGGCCCAGCGGTTACAGTGTGGCATGGGAGTGAGGACTCCCCGCTTCTATTCCTGGCTCTGCTGTTGACCTTTCTTGCAGAACAACTCATTGCCCTGCTGTGTGCCTCAGTTTCCCCTCCCACCTCAGTAAAAGAGGGGTCATGTCTACCGCACAGGAAGGGTTCTGAAGCTTGGCTGATGTGGGTAAAAGGCCTGAAGGCTCCTTGCCTCCTGTGTAAAACTGCATGGTGATGCTACCTAGGTTTTGATGCGGCCCCAGTTATTTTTCCTAGCCAAGCTCCTCCCTCTCTTAGTGCACAATACCACCTGAAGCCAGGCAGTATTGTTATCTCTGTAGGACAGAGCAGGGAAGTGAAGACCAGAGGGACTAAGGTTTTCTTAAATTGTGACCTCTCCCTCAGAAACACCCAGATTTCCCCAAGAAGCCCCTGACTCCTTACTTCCGCTTCTTCATGGAGAAGCGAGCCAAATACGCAAAGCTACACCCAGAAATGAGCAACCTGGATCTGACCAAGATACTCTCCAAGAAGTACAAGGAGCTCCCTGAAAAGAAAAAGGTAGGTAAAGCCTAGGTTGGATTTAGGAATCTGTCCATGCAGGGACCTCCCACAGGAGCTGGCGTCATTAGGCTCTGGGTCTCTGCTTCATGCAACCAGACCTCCTTGATATTATGGGATATGGGCAGGTTATACAGGCTGTGGGATCTGCTCCTCTAGGATCTGGGTCAGGGGGAGCGAGTCCTTAGCTGGCTTCTCTACAGAAAACTCAAGCTTGTGTTTAGTTCTCTTAGGTTATTGAGATTTTCCCTTGCTCTTCCCCTGGGTAGTTACTCGAGCTGTGGGATTGGATGATTGGTGGGATCCATGGCTCTACTGAACCAATCAACAGTGAAACAGTTACAACTTTTGATGGATCTGTGTTAAACTTTGGGGTTAATTGCACACGGGGCATATTGTGTTCAGCTGCACATGCCATCCAGTTTGTGACTAAGCCTGAGCCTGTCCCTGCAAAGGCCTTGGCACCAAACTGCACCTTGGCTCAGCTTAGCAATAAATGTCTGAAACCCTGGTGTGCCCTGCCTTGCTGCGGACAGCTGCTGTGCTGGGAGAGTCCCATAGCTGCCAAGGAGAGTTGGGGGCCCAGTTCCCTGTGGGTTGAAGGGGAATTGTACATCTGAACTTCTCCATTACTGTTCAGGGCTTGATCCTGCCATCCTCAATTCCCTCTGACTTTAGGAGTGGAGGGGGCTCAGCCAGTCACAGGATCAGGCCCTCAGCCTTCAGGGTTGGTGAAGAAAACTGTGCTCTCTCCTCCCTGGTGATTTGTTTCCAAGGGGTGCTGTTTCCTCTAGTAGCCAAACATATGTGGAGTCCTGCTGCCTCCTTGCCCTGCTGTTAACACCCCCTCACCTCACTCCCGGCTCTTTGTCTCTCCCAGATGAAATACATCCAGGACTTCCAGCGGGAGAAACAAGAGTTTGAGCGGAACCTGGCAAGATTCAGGTAAGAAGTTGACCAGCTGTGCCTGTGGAGCCATTTTTGGTGCATTCATCGTGGCTGTCTGCTTATAATGCTTGGGGGGTGAGGAGGAGGGGAAGGCTGGACAAAGGGAAAGGAAGGCTGGATCCGAAAGCTTTCCTGCTCAGCAGGCCTCTGAGACTACTATGGCACAAGCTGTGAGGTCTGGTAGCATGCAACTCGGCTAGTGCGTGCCTTTTCTGTGATAAAGCTTTGAAGAAGTTGGGGAGACCCCTGCTGTAGCAGTGATAGGGGCCCTGTTACTTGAGTCATTCAGTACGTTAAAGGAAACCAGTCCCAGGTGACCCCAGCATTTCCATCTCAAATGTTTGTGATCTCCCGACACCCTTCTTAGGGAGCCCTCACTGTCTGAGCCCCTGGGTGTGTGGCTCCCTTGGGATTCCAGCCCACGGTGGATCTCAAGAGACCAGAACGTCAGGGTTAGTCATTTCCTGCCACTGCCTCTTCTGACCTTTCTACTCTTGCCTCTGTTGCCTGAAGGGAAGACCACCCCGATCTCATTCAGAACGCCAAGAAGTCTGACATCCCTGAGAAGCCCAAGACTCCCCAGCAACTCTGGTACAACCATGAGAAGAAAATCTACTTGAAAGTGCGCCCAGATGTAAGTTTTCCATGGAGTTGCTGTGAATGCACACACACATCATGGGGGACACACATGGGGGTGGGAGAAACATCCGGATCTGGTGGGCCAAGGAGGAGGCGCCATGCAGAAGCATCGTACCATCTGGATGCAGGTAAGGTGACAGAGCGCTGGCACAGGAAATGGTATGTGTATGTAGGAGGGATGGAGCAGCAGTACCAGACTTAACTAGTGTGAGGGGTGACCACCCCCAGTGCAGGAGCCAGAGCAGTGAAGCAAAAAAGGCAGCTGTCTTCTCCACGCCCCTGAGCTCAGCTCGCTGCCCCATGATCCCCACTGGGATCGGGCAGGAAGAGAGGGCGGGCGGGGCCCGCATTTCACCCCTCTGCCCTCACCTCTGGCTTTGGATTTTCAGGCCACCACGAAGGAGGTGAAAGAGTCGCTGGGCAAGCAGTGGTCTCAACTCTCGGACAAAAAGAGGCTGAAATGGATTCATAAGGCCCTGGAACAGCGGAAGGAGTACGAGGTAGGGAACCGCCTACCCATCCACATTCTCCCCTACGCTCAGCCAGTCCAGGTCGCATTCTGGCCACCCGCCTACTGGCTGAGGGTGGTCAGGGAGTCAGCCACCCCCTCTCCGTAACCGGCGTGAGGGGTTGCTGTTTGAATTCAAGGTGCTGCCCCTCCTTCCATTTCTAGGGTTAGATCAGACCCTTCCCTGCAGGTCCCCAGCTAGGTCAGAGACTTCCAGCGCAGCTTAGAGAGTATGTGGGCAAGACCCCTCAGCAGGGTGTCCCCCACAAAGGGAGGTTACTGGCTCCTCTCCTCCTCATTCTCCTGGCCAAAGGGCCTTAAGCTGGCCACTCTAACCCGCTGGCTGGTTTTTTGTCCACAGGAGATCATGCGGGATTACATTCAGAAGCATCCTGAACTGAATATCAGTGAGGAGGGCATCACACGCTCCACCCTCACCAAGGCAGAACGCCAGCTGAAGGACAAGTTTGATGGGCGACCCACCAAGCCACCTCCGTAAGTCACCTGCAGTTGGGGCAGTGGGGTTATAGCTTGGCTCTGTGCTGGAGGGATGGGAGAAATATTGGAGCTTTTCCAATTTTTTCCTCCTCACAGCAAATATTTCGTTCATGTCTCAGTGAAACCTTGCTGGAGCAAGGCAATAGAGACTCTGCACAACCCTGCCCCAGGGTGCCACCCCCCCATAGCCTGCCCTTGCTGCAGCAGAAAGGTGGGGATGAGATGGCTCCTTCCTCCACCAGAGTCTCTTGCAGTTGTGCTGGCAGGGTCTTCCTGCACAGCAGGTCTTGCACTTGCACCCTGTTGACACCAGTAGGGCAGCTCCTCTTTGAAGCAGTTGATGGCTGTCTGTACTCTCAGGTAGATGCTACCATGAATGCCGCGTGCCCCCGGAGGCTGGGGGGGCTTGGTGAGTTCCAACAGGCGGCAATGGCACTGTTGGCGGCAGGAGCGTGGCGGCGGTGAGCGGTGAGCTCCTGCTGGCGTCCGCAACGCTGTCAGCAGCAGGGAGGCTGGCGAGCGTCAGCAAACACCCACAGACACTGCCGGCAGTATCAGTGGTGGCCAGTGGCAATCGAGGACCACCCACAAGAGGTGCACCGTCAAGCTCAGAGGGTGCACGTGCACCGCCTACGCATTGCCAATGGATGCTACATCAGATTCTGATGTAAATGCATGACTCCCAGAGCCAGGGCCCTGTGTCTTGATTCAGCCTTAAGTGACACTGATTTCCCAGCCCAAGACCAACCTGAGCAGGGCCAACATACCAGTTCCTCTAGGTTTGTGGGAATGGTATAGTTTGTTTTCACAGTATAAATTGTTTCACTTCATTGCTGAAATGCAGCCTCTTGGGTGGAATGCCAGTGTGCTGGCATTGAATAGCAGATTGCAGTGCTATATGAGAGAGGGGGCAGGGAATGAATGAGGGGTATTCTCAAGGTGAACATTGGCATGAATGCTAAAGGTGGACATTGGCAGGTAGACATTGCAGGTGGAAGGGGAGACCCACTAATGCCCTGCAGCTGTCCTTGGTTCACAGGAACAGCTATTCCCTGTACTGTGCGGAGCTGATGGCCAACATGAAGGATGTCCCCAGTACAGAGCGGATGGTGCTGTGCAGCCAGCAGTGGAAGCTGCTCTCCCAGAAGGAGAAGGATGCATACCACAAAAAATGTGACCAGGTGAGTGAGCTGGGGGCTGGAACTGGAGCTGGGGTAGGGAGAAAAGGTAGGAGTGGGACACAGAAAGGGCTAGGCTTGAAAACTCCCTCCCCAGAGCAGGGGGGCAGCTGCTCCTTGCAGCTAAATTGTAAGTTGTGACCCCCACTGTGCTCCCACCAAACCCTAGCACTGTCTTTCCAAGCAGGGTACAGGGAAACAGCAGCCTCTAAAAGAACCCCAAGTCCTGGTGCTCCTTCCATTCCCTGTTCTGCCACTGACTTGCCCATTCATTTGGGCAAGGAATTTTCCCCCTGGAAGGTAGGATTAGCAATGGCTGCCTGCCGGGAGGGGTTTGTGTATGGGAATGAGCAAAGGACTGCTAAATGGGGTGGGGGGTGTTTTGCCCAAAGTGTTGTCTAGTGAGGCCGATGCGTACATAACCCCAGCCTCTTGTTAGCAGTCAGGCTTTATCACAAGGCTCTAGCCCCAGTGCCATTGATTTATGGGGGGGCAGTCAAGTGGGACTAGGGACCAGGCCGAGGGTGCCATCTTTGAGTAACCATCTCTCTCTCCCCCTCCTCCTGGTTTCTCCACCAGAAAAAGAAAGATTATGAAATAGAGCTCCTTCGTTTTCTGGAGGTGAGTGTGCCCTTCTCCCCTCCCAGGGGCTCAGCTTGTTGTGCAGCGGTCCTGCCCCAGCCGCCTTCCACTCAGCATGCCAATCATCTGTGCATCTGCTTCACAGCTGTGATGGAGGGGGGGTCCTGTGTGCACTTGTGGCTGGTGACGGGCATGCATGGGGCAGAGTTGGCCTGGCAAACCAAGGTCTGGGGGTACCATGTTCCCTGCCCCAGTTGCCCCCCTTTTTGATCTCCTCCCCTTGTGCAGCTACAGGCTGTTCTGTTCTACATGGGCTCTCATCTTGCCCCCAGCCAAATGGCATCTGGCCATGTGTTAAACAACAGAAATAACCCACGTCCTGTGTGGTCTGTTGTCTTCCTCCTCCCCTCCCAGGTAGAGGGCGGCATGGTGAAAACATGTCTGGGCTAGTGCATGCTTGACAAGACAGGTTGGAGCAGTGCAGCTGGCACCAGAGGAGTTTTGACATGGGCCTTGTCTGTGGCCAGGACTGGCCCCTGAGCACGCTCGGGCTGCTGCACAGATGGGTTCCTTGAAGCCAGTGCATTGGCGACGCATAGGGGGTGCACGCGGGTGCGTGTGCACCCGCCGAGATTGACTGTGCACCCCCTGGAAACGCCAGCCGTGAAACCGGAAGTGCTGGCGGAAGTGCACTTCTGGTTTTGCCGCTGGTGATTTCGGGCTCGGCGATCAGCTGCTGGGAGACCCACCCCCAGTCGGCAATCTGGTGCCCCCCCCGCCAGACTCGGGAGGCACCAGTCGCCCATGAGCCAGTTGAAATGCTTTTGGTGTCGGGTGTGGGGGAGTGCAGCCATGTGAGGGTGTGTATGAGTGTGAAAGCTCCTATTTCCTTCCTCCCCCACCCCAGCTGCTCCTCTGCCCTTGTCCCCAGGGGTGGGGGAACTCCTGCTCTCAGTTGGTGCCAGGGAGAGGCCATTGCCAGGGCAGGATGGGGGTGGGGATTATTTTGACCCCAGCGCTGCTCTGACCAGCATGTCTGGGAGCTGCTGCTGCTGGCTGCTGTGTTATGTCTGGAGGGGGATGTTGACTCCATTTAGCCTTTTTTTGGTTGCATAAACAAGGGTGGAAAAACCAGCCAGTCCCTCCCCCTCCCCACCCCATGTCTGCGGCAGCAGAGGGCAGAGAGGAGGTTGCCCTTCCTCTGAGTAGGTGGGAGTTGAGCTGAGAGAGGAGGCCGGTCCCTGAGACCCATGCTTTGTATCTGTATTGCTGACTCTGCCCAGCCGGCCTGGTTCTCTAGACGGCTCCTGGCACATTGGCAGAGTGGTTTGTACAGTGCTGAATATTTCAAGGTTGGGGAAGGTCATTTGTCCCTTTTCCCCCCTCTAAGGAAGAAGCCCTCTTCAGCAGCTGGGTCACTGCCCTGGGAGTCGGAGCTCCTGGGGCCTCTTTGCGTCTGCCACGCTTGCTGGGTGCCCTCACACTGGTCACCTCCTTTCCCTGTGCCCCATTTCTGTCTGCAAGAGGTTCACAATACTGGAATGATCTGGCTTGCATGCGTGTGCTTCACCGCCCTCTACTGGATGCATTGGGAAATGGCCTTCTGTGTCATAGACCCTATACAGCTAATGAGGGATCCTCTGGTAGGAGGGTCTTGAAGCAGAAAAACCTGGGGGAAGCGTGTTTGGAGTTGGAAGGTCTCACTGAGAGCACGGTTTTAGTGTCCTTCCCATCATCCCCTTTCGGTCTGTACATCCCTCCTTTTCACACTGCCAAGCTGTGGAATTTCCTAACCCACGCGCCTCTCCCTCCTTGCATGGCATGCAGAGCCTCCCAGAGGAGGAACAGCGGAGGGTGCTGGGCGAAGAGAAGATGCTGGGAGGGAACAAGAAAGGAGCCACCAGCCCTGCCTCCAAGAAGTCCTCGCCAGATGCTGGCAAGGTGAGGACTGTCCCGATCATGGAAAGAGCACGGCACCGCCTGCATATGTGTGTTACTGGAATTGGGGAAAGGAGCCAGTTCCTTTTTAAACCAGCTTCAAGGCTCCTCAGTGGGAGCCGCTGAGTTAGCTCAGAGGGACAGTGGCAAAAAATAAACCGCTGCTTTTAAAACCAAAACAAAAAAAGAGGAAAAACTCCAATTTTTTTGGCTTTCCTGTACATCCGTGAGGTGGCTGCAGGGTTTCTGCACCTGCTTGTTTTGGCAGAGTCTGGTTTTTGCTTGTACTTTCTGTAATGCTTTAAACTCTACACCACGTCCCTTTTTGTGCTCTTCAACAGGCAGGTTCTGAGAAACCCAAACGACCCATTTCTGCCATGTTTATCTTCTCGGAGGAGAAGCGAAAGCAGCTGCAGGAAGAGCGACCCGAGCTGTCTGAGAGCGAGCTGACCCGGCTGCTGGCACGGATGTGGAACGATCTTTCTGAGAAGAAGAAGGTTGTTGAATCAATGACATGCTCTTTCTAACCATCTCACTTTGCACATTGGCACCTAGCTGCTTCTGAGGAGGATACGCAGAGGGTGCCTTTTACTTTCCACCCTGTCTAGGGGTGCCAACAGTTCAGTCACTGGACTCTTCCCTACCCTGCCATATGCTGGAGCTATTTTTCTCCATTGTGGCACAACAGTCTCTTTGGGAAATGGCTCCAGTGGCTGGCACTGTAGCGTGTCAGAGCGTAGCACAGATGGGTCTTGCCGGCTGCCCCTTCTGAGGCAGTGGGGCTGCCAGAAACCTTTGCGTCTTTGCATGCAGCCTGGTTCTTATGAAATGGGACCAGCCACCAGAAATATAATGAGCAGCTCTGGGAGATCGAGGTCTGCCAGGTTCCACCTGGAGGGGAAGATCTTGAGCCTGGATTTAAGCGTGGCAGGGGGACAGAGTGGGGATTGGGGTCTGTCCAGCCCTGGTGGATTTAACTAACACCTGGTTTGAGTGGGTTGATTGTTTATAGGCACTTTGGAAGCATTTCAGTCTGTCTGTGTGGGAAGGTGTTTTGTGGCTTGCGGGGGGACACAGTTCTTCCCTGCTGCATCTCTGGACGTATGTGTGCATTCTTTCCAAGAGCTGTGGGCAAGGGCTAAAATTCTCTGGGTCTTGGTAACAAATCAGGCAGGTGGGTGAGAGGGCACTGCTCTGCCTGGCAGCTCCACACCCTTGCCCCTGCTTAGTACAACCTGCATCTCTGGTGGTTGCAGCAGAGTGCTCAAAACCATTTTTGCTGCCCAAACAGTTCTCACAGCAGATAGAGCCTGCAGTGTAACCCCCTGGGCTGGTTAGATCTGCCTATAAAATGGCAGCTCTGCCTTGGCCTCATCAGAAAGAATGTGTGGCAGCCTGTGCCGTGTGCCCCCAGATGGTTTTGTGGCTGGGTCCTTGTAGGGGTGGCAACTCTGCATCTTTATGAGGACCAAGATGCTCATTGAGGAGATCAGGACAAGGGAATTGGGCTGGAGTGACGTACACCTTAAATGTCACCCCTGTGTGTGTGTCTTTGCTCAGGCCAAGTACAAGGCCCGGGAGGCAGCCATGAAGGCGCAGTCCGAGAAGAAGCATGGTTCGGACAAAGAAGAGCGTGGCAAGTTGCCTGAATCACCCAAGACAGCCGAGGAGATCTGGCAGCAGAGCGTCATTGGGGACTACCTGGCTCGCTTTAAGGTGAGGAACCGAGGCAAGCAGCAAAGAAGGGGGAGAGAGCATCTCTTCACCTGTTTCCCCGCACTCCAGGCTTGTCCTCAACGTAGCCTCTAGCTAGAGCAGGGGCAGGCAATTATTTTGGGCAGAGAGCCACTTACTGAGTTTTGGCAAGCCATCGAGGGCTGCATGACAGGCAACCAGGGGCAGATAAATATTAATTTTCTAACATTTTTAGGGGCCCTGCAGGCCAGATAGGATGGCTGGCGGGCTGCATCTGGCCTGCGGGCTGCATTTTGCCCACCCTCGAGGTAGAGTGATGGGGCTGGGTGCTGCTAGGGGAGCAGAGAACCTGTGGGAGGGCAGGAAATGCTTTAGAAATGTTATTCAAATGAGACGCCTAGGAAACACCCACCCTTGCCCCCTTTCTTCTGGGAGGTGAGTAAACACTCAGAGATGTACCCCATGACTTGGGGATCCAGGGCCCAGCTGGAAGAAGTGACTTGCCAGGGCACAACCAGCAAGTCAAAGGAAAAACTGGTGAGAGGTCTCGGGAGTCTGCGCTTTAGCTGCAAGAGGTTTGTATTCTCCCCTGTGTATATAACTGGAGTGCTGCTTGTCTCCCTGTGCTGCAGAATGACCGGGGGAAGGCACTGAAAGCCATGGAGGCCACTTGGAACAACATGGAGAAGAAAGAAAAGCTCATGTGGATAAAGAAGGCGGCAGAGGACCAGAAGCGATATGAGGTGGGTCCCTGACCCTGCACTCCATGGGGCTTTGTTTCCCACCCCTCCAGCCTAGGCTGCTATTCTTCAGCACCAGCATAGGGCACCAGGACCAATCTCCAAGCACTGGCATGGTGTGCTTCCAGTGCCCTTTACACACTTGTTAAAGGAACAGCTTGTGCTGTGACAGGCTCCTGTACAGAGCAAGAATAGGGGCCATGCCTCCCAGGAGAGCTTACAGGAGTGGATGGGAATTTCTCTTACCCTGGAGCAAGGGAGTCATGCTGCTTTGGCAGGCTGGGAAAGGGGCTTCCTTCTCCCTGCAGCTCTCCAAGTGCCCTTGACTGGCACCCATTGTCTGCTTCTGTTTCTGGGGCAGAGACTCAGAGACAGTGCACTGCAGAGCCTGATGCTGCTCATTCTCATTTTTGAGACTCGGGTGGGAGTAGGGGTGGAATTGCCCTGTGCAACACATCTTCTTGTCGCATGAAGTTTCCTGCTGTAAGGGTTGGCCTGAGGGATTCTGCACAGACTTAGGTGTTTGCTCTGAATGTAATGCCAGATGGCAGCCTCCTCTTACCCATCCCTGTCCCCCTCCATCCCCCAGAGAGAACTGAGTGAGATGAGGGCCCCTCCGTGCACTGCAAACTCTTCCAAGAAGGTGAAATTCCAAGGAGAGCCAAAGAAACCCCCTATGTGAGTACTAGTCCTCCTGGGAGCTGGATGTGTAGTAGGGTGGTAGAAGAATGGGAAGTTGGAGGAGGGGTGGGTCTTGCTTCAGAATAGCTTAGAAAGCACAGGCCAATAGCCCAGATGTGCCAGAGAGCCTGGGCTGGGCCATGGCTGTGGACAGGGACACTTAGCTGAGTGCTGTAAGGGATTGGTAGCCTGTAGGGTAAAGGCCAGTGGTGGAGAGTTGGAAAGAGGGAGGAGCAAAATCAGGACTTGTGGGTTCTGGGAGGCAGGGAGGGACTGTGTGGCTTCAAGGCTAGAGCAGCAGGCCAGGCAGTGGGCCCACCTGGCTTCTGCTTCCTGCCCCTGGAAGAGACTTTATTCTGGGGCTCACAGCGGGACAGGTTGCCTGGGCATTGTTCCCAGAGAGGGAGGGCCCTCTCGGGTTGACCACGCAGCTGCCTCTCACTTCTGCCCCCATGCCTCTCAGGAATGGCTACCAGAAGTTCTCCCAGGAACTGCTGTCCAACGGGGAGCTCAACCACCTGCCGCTGAAAGAGCGGATGGTGGAGATAGGCAGCCGCTGGCAACGCATCTCCCAGAGCCAGAAGGACCATTATAAGAAGTTGGCCGAGGAGCAGCAGAAGCAGTACAAGGTGCACCTGGACATCTGGCTCAAGGTGAGTGCATGGTGGGACCACCTGCAGTCCAGGCAGTCTCTCCCTTCTGGTTTTGGGGCTGTCACCCTCAGGATTCTTGCTGGAGGGCGGGGCTGTCGGTCATGGATGCTGTCCCTTGAAACCAGGCCTCCTGTCTGTGCCTCTGCCCCATGGTATCTCCAGAGAGATTCCCCTCTGATGAACTGCGGCAGCAGGATGTGGGTGAGGGGGCCCATCTCCAGGCTCCGTTTTAACACTATTGGCTGCCTATACATGTGCTTGGGAGTGAAGGGGGCAGGTTCCTGGACAGTCGCTCTAATTAAAACACCTCACTGTCATGTGTATTGAGCCCCTGTGCATTTAAAAATGTCTGTGGGATGCTTTATCTAAGCCTCATTTGATGAGGTTTAGATAAAGTGCCCCTATGGCCATTTTAAAACACACAGGGGCTTAATACATGTGATGGTGAGATGCCACGGGAGCATTCTAATTAGAACATGAACAAGCACAGCAATATAGGCAGCCATTTCTCCCAGCTTGTCTGAGTTTCCGAGCAGTTCCCATTCTGGGCAGCAGGGGCAGTGCTGTGTAGGACTGGGGTTGGCCACATCTGACCTGTAAAGCTGGAAGGCTTTGCTTTTGCCTGTGCCAACACCTGTGCCAGGGCTGGGCAGTGAGCACCTGTGATGGAGGTAGGCAGCCTTCAGGTGTGCCCACCCTACTGCTGCTTCTCTCCTCGCCCCCTCCTTTCCTACCTCCAGCTGCAGCCTGGGTCCAGCTTCTAGCTGGTGGGGAACAGCACCAGCATCTGGCACCTTCCAGCTGCACTTAATTGTGGGAAGCAGGGAGAAGTGGCAGCAGTGTGGACACAGTTTACAGCTACCCAGCCCGCAATTGGCTGGAGCCAGGTTGTTCTGGCCCATGGTTTGTTAAGGGTTTGTCATCTGCTGGTATAGGGAAGCTTTGTTTCCCATTCAAAGCCCTGTCCTAGAGCTAGCAATGCTGGTAAGACTTGCCCCTACCCCTACCTCTCTGTGTAGCTATGACCTTGCCTTTCCTTCCTTGGGGGCTCATGGGATTCTTCTGTCTTGGCAGAGCCTGTCGCCTCAAGAGCGTGCAGCCTACAAAGAGCACACCTCAAATGTGAGTACCTGCTGGGGTGGAGATGAGGTGGGAGCTTGTGATTAGTTCTGTTCCTGCCCAGCTGTCTGGAGGGATCTGTGCCCACCCCTACAGCCCTCACGAGACTGTTACAGAGGGAACATGCTCCTTTGTTAATAGTCCAGTAACATCCAGAGGCCTCAACAGGGTTCAGGTCAGGACCCTGAAGAGCTTCCCCTCTAAATAGATGAACCAGAGGGGAAGTGACTTGCTCAAGGTGACACAGCAAGTTGGTGGCAAAAGTGGAGGTAGATACAGGTTTATAGATTTATAGCCTCTGTAAATAACATCCCACTGTGAAGGCTTTCAGTAGTTGATGGTTGGTGCTCTCACCTCTCAATCTGCAGATGACACCAAGCTGGGTGGGGGTGCACATGATAAACAGGAGAAATAGTTTAGTGTTAACAGAATTAATTTCAATAAGAACAAGTGGAAAGCCCTGCATTTAGGACAGAACAGTTACGTGCACAAGTACAGACTGGGGAAGGGCTGGTTAGGCTTCAGTGCTGCAGAAAAGGAGGTGGGGATTACAGTGGATCATAAACTGAATATGAGCCAGCAGTGTGCAATTTTGGCAAAAAAGCCCATAAGTATGTTGAATTATATTGATAGGACCATCATTTGCAAGTCAAGGAAAGTAATCCTTTCATTCTGTTCAGCACAGGTGAGACCTCACCTGGAGTACTGTGTCCAGTTTTGGGCCCTACATTTCAAGAAAGATGTGGACAAATTGGAATGAGTCCACTGGAGAGCAACAGAAGTAATCAGAAATCTAGGAAATATGACTTGCCAGGAAAGGTTGGAAGAATGAAGATTATTTAGTCTGGGGTAGAGGAGATGTGGAGCAGGGGTGTTGATAACAGTCTTCAAATACCTGAATGGTGGTTATAAAAATGATGGTGATAAACTGTCCTCTGTGGCTGCACAGGACAGGACAAGGAGCAATGGTCCAAAATGGCACCAAGATATATTTAGTTTAGAAATTAGAACTTTTTTACTACTTGGGTGATTTAAACATTGGAACAGATTATTACATAGAGCAGTTGTGGAATCATTGCAGAAATATTTAAGATCAGCTGCACAAAAACTTGACTGAGCTGGTTTAGACATTGCTGCCCCTGCCTCAGGCAGGTGTTGGACTAAATGACCTCCTGAGATTCCTTCCAGTTCTGTTCTGTGCTTGGGGAACAGAGGAGTCTCCTTCAGGGCCATGCTGAGGTGTTTGCTTTTTCTCTTTCACTCTGTGCAGAAGCGCAAGAGCATGGGGAAGGTGAGAGGGCCGAACCCGAAGATGAAGCCCACGATGCAGTCCAAGTCGGTAGGTACTGCCCTGCTGCCTCCTATCCAGGATGGCTCTGTGGAATGGTGCCTGCCCTTCTCCCTCCCGGAAACCCTTGCTAGGGCTAATCTTCCTGCAGAGCTATACCCTAGAAGGGCAGTTCCTTGAAGAGCCAGGGTGCAAGGAGAAGTCCCCAAGCAGCTGTGGTGTTAGTGTGAGTTGGAAGAGGGAGATGTTACTGTATTCAGGGCTGGGAGAGCATATCATAATACCCTTGTGCTTCCCTTGTTCTACCCTAAGGGTCTTGAAGAGCTTGAGGCCTCGTGAAGAGAGTGGACAGGGTCATTCTTCTGCCAGTTGACTGATGGGGAAACAGGCAGGTGGTAAAACTGGCCCACAGGCATGTAGTGAGGTATTGGGAGCTGGGAACAGAACCCAGGAGTTCTGTCTACTCTATGCTTTGGCTCCCTAAAGAGAAAATGGGGTAATGCAGGTTCCTTTCCCACTGTGGCAGGGGGGATGTGAACTGTAGTGGGCCACTAGCTTGAGCCAAGGGCTGACAACCATAGCACCTGCCTGATCTGGGCTCTGGAAAGTAGCAGACCTGGAAACCACCTCTTGGGGCAGGTCCCCAATTCGTTGTCAGAGATTTAATGCAGCTCTTCTGGATAAGCGCAGTTCATAGCTCCAGCCTTCAAGTATAGCCAAAAGCCTTGGAGCTCCTGGCTTCCCTGGCAGCTCCTGGGCTGGGGGCAGGTTTCCAGTTTTGCTGATGGCCCTAATCTGTCAGCTAGGACCACTGGTGGGACTAGGCACATGGTGGCTCCTGTGAGGATTTCACGGGGTTCCTGCCCTTGGGGGGTGAAAAAGTCTATCCATGGGAGGAGCGGGGCAAGCCATGAGACCCGTTCGAAACCACAGACTGAGTTCTGCATGACCCGCAGGAATCTGAGGAGGATGAGGACGATGATGATGACGAGGAAGAAGATGACGATGATGATGAGAATGGGGACTCGTCTGAGGAAGGCGGGGACTCATCAGAGTCCAGCAGTGAGGAGGAGAGTGAGGATGGGGATGAGGTGAGGCTACCTGATCTGCACCAGGGATGAGTCTGGGCCTCTGTGGGGACCATGAGGCCAGTTATGCTGGTCCATCATCCTGGGGTCCCAGCACCCAGGACGTGGGAAGCACTAGGTTTTTGGGAGAACCTGTCCTTTGTAAATACAGGGCTTGGGTACACAGTGGGTCCAATGCTCAGGTTGCATCTAGGGTGTAAATCCCATTGACCTCAGAGTTGCTGCAGCTGTTTACAGCAGCTGGGGGAGAGGGGTCAGTCAGTCGGTCCTGAGGCTGAATCAAAAGTTGATGGCCTCCAGCCTTTTCTGCAATGCAGGGAACTGCAACCCAGGTGCAATATATGCACAGAGAAGCCCAGAAATCCCCTGGGCTCCAGCCATTGCTCTTGTGTGCTCAGAGACTGCAGCTTGGAGCCTGTAGCACTCTGCTGCCTGAGACTATTCGGTATCTTGTCTGTCATACCTGGGGCCTGACCCTTATCTTGGGTACTCTGGGGCAAATGTGAAGTGAGTCACTGAAGACACAGGAGTTGCTCTGGATTCACACTGGTGGCAGACGAGTCAAAATCTGATTAGTAGTACTGGAAACAGGAGCTCTGTGCTGTGGGTTACAGCCCTACAGGAACCACAGGAGGGAGCTGCAGCAGGATTTGTAAAGTCTTCAATTCGCTTGTCTTCAGGTTACGTTGGTTCCTCATGCTATAAGGTGGGGAACCAAGGTGGGCAGAGGGACTGGTGCCTTGCCTCAGAACATAGCAAGGCAGTGGTGGAGCTGTGACTAGAACCCAGGATATAGAGCCTAGGAATCAGCCCCCTTTGCTTAAGCCACATACCAGCCCCATCTTCTCCATGGAGGAGGAGAAAACTTTAAAATCAGCTGGCCAGCACCAAATGGCTGAGTGCTTGTAACAATCCCTCTTGCCCCAAACAACGTGCAAACTAATAGCAACAAAATCTCAGGCTGTTTCTTATTCTTGAGAGTGTTTTGGAGTGAAGGGGCCAAGTTTCAGTCTATTTTAATCAGTGACTGATTCACCTTCTAATAAGCTGCCAGGAAGTGCAGTTCTGTCAGTAGGCATCCTTTTTCTGGCTGTTGCCAGCTCTGGCATGCCAAGCAGAATTTGACTGGAGCAGAGCTTGCATGGGAGACCCAGTCTTCAGGAAGTGGTTTTAGTGATTCAGTAGTTTGGTATTTGTGGAGCCTGCCCAGTGCTGATGCCCTAGGCTGGTGCTTGGGGGTGCTGGGCTGCTGGACTTGCCTGGAGTTGGACGGGACTTAATTTGACAAGTAGGCCTTGTCTGTACTGGTCTGATTTGGGAAAAGGTGTGCAAGCCACACTTAGCACTGGTGTCGTACCCCACACTGGGGCTTTTGAAGGGTAAATTACCTCCAGGCTCCTACCCCCAGTGCAGCCAGACTGCTAAGCCTTTCTTCGCCTCCCACCCCAGAATGAAGATGACGATGAGGAGGATGATGATGACGATGACGATGACAATGACTCTGAGGGCAGCAGCTCCTCCTCCTCCTCTTCAGGCGACTCCTCCGACTCGGACTCCAACTGAAACGCCCACCTGCCACCTTCTTGCCATACTCTTAGTAATATTCTTCCCCCTCTTTGGAACAGTAACGTCCTGACTGGAGCCCTGGGTTGCTGGTTGCAAAGCGGGGCAGAGGGGAATCACTGTGGCTAATTTCCCTCCCCCTCCACCTCCCCACCCCGCAGTGAATTTCAAGCTAAGAGGAGGCAGCTGGCAAAAACAATGGAGGCTTTTTGAGCAGTGTTGCGGGTGGGGTGGGGGTGTTATTCTGTGTTGTGTTTTTCTCCATAGAGTTTGTGCTCAATCCTGTTTTGGGGGGAGGGAAGAGAGGGGGATGATTTTTGTTTTTTTCATACTGCCTTCCCTTGTCCTGCCTCCTGCTGCCTCTCTCCCCTTCCAACTTCCAGCTACCAGCTCCGGACTTTATACAAAACAAAATCCTTTTTAAAAACAAACAACGACAGATACGTCCTGGCAAGAGGCGCGGAGCGTTGTTCTGGACTGCAAGCCACCGCAGCTCAGGACTTGGCTGCGGGGACGATCTCCCTCTGCCTCTCTGATGCGAGGAGGGGACAATCTTGTACAGTCTTGAAGCTGCACCCGGAGCTCCTGGAGAGCAAAGTCCCACTGCACTTACGAGCTCCCGTAATGAACTTCACACAGCATTTCCCTCTGGGGACAGGGGGAGAAATTTTGTGTGCGTGCGTGTGGGTGAGTGTGTATGTGTGTGTATGCGTGCATGTGTGTTGGAGGGGTGGGGGGTGCAAAGGGAGTTCAAAGAAGATGTTGCCCAGTATATTTTTGGGAGAGGGGGTGTAGGGAGGGGCTGACACTTGTGGGGAGGGGGTCACCAAGGCTGCAAAATGGCAGCTAGAGCCTTTGATTAGGGGCTGATAGTGGCATCAGCTGCCCAAATGGCAGTCAGCCCATCTTGCCAGAGCAGCCTTTGAACAGAGCTGGTGGCAGGTGGGTCCCATATCTTACTTTTTGTTTTCTTTTTATAATGAAGTGACCAATTATTGTACCAAGATGGGGCATTTGTTGATGGTGTTTCCGGGAGGGTTTGGGCGAGGGGCTCTGCCACGAGGAGAGATTGTCTGTGTCGTCGGTGGTTGTTGTGTTGTTGTTTGTTTGGGTTTTTTTGTCCTGGTTCTTTTTTTTTTTTTCCTTTTATAAAACAAGGAAGATCCATCTTTTTTTTTTACAACCAAACTCTCAGTCTTTGGCTAGCTGGATGGCTCTGCACCCCCTTGCCCCCTGCAGTGCGCTGGCCTCAGTGCCCGCCATGCAAAGAACTGGGGATTGAGAGGGGGCAAGCCCCAGCTGTACCACAACAGGGTCTCTGGAGTGGGATTGTGGTGCAGACCCACCTCCATTTCCACAGCCGAGCAGGTAGCGAGGGAGGCGCTGACCTGTGTTCCCCCAATGATCGTTGTTTAAATTAATTTGAAGGAATGATGGAAAAGTAGCTTCAGGCTCCAGCGGCTGAGATCTGAACCCACAGGCAGGTCACTCCTCTGGGAGAGGAGCTGCCGATTTATATATTGGTGTATCACGGGCTATGTGTTACTATATAGACATGGACGGCTGTCTTTGTTTTCAGTTGAGAGCCATAACTAGCATCTCATCCCTCTCCTTTTCCGGTTAGGGCTGCTAGCCAGCACGGAGAGGGCTCCATGAGTGCTCTAAGTGGGCCTGCCAGAGAACAGGCCCATGGAGCCTCCTGCTTCATGCTCCGGCCCATCGGCTGTTACATGTATGAGGGTGAGGTCCACCCCATGTAGAGCTTTGGCATGAGCCCCTGGCTCCCCCATCAGCAGGTCCTGGGTCTGGCACTTTCCCTGATGCCAGACTGGGGCTTTTCTTCCAGGGGCAGGAAGAGGGAGGTTCCTGGGTGCAAATAACAGGAGGTGTCTATTTGCACCCTCTATGGGAGTGGGGAGCCAGTTGGGCAGTAGGGCCATGTTGTTTGTGCTTCCACACT